GGGAAATGAATAATGATCGGATAACATGTTTATTTTGACTGGAGCATTGCCTCTTTATATTGTATATTTATATCAGATTGGGATCTCCTTTCCACGTCACCAATGAGGTAAAGCCCTAATACATTTTTGTTTTAAGTGTTAGCCCCTGTAGAACTATTGCACTCCTTGTATAATAGAGTAGGTCAAAAATTAACAAAAAAATTACTTCTGGCTAGTTTGTCTTTTGTTGTTTATACCCTATTTAAAAATTAGTGAAAATATAGCTGGGCCCTTAGGGGTAAGAAATTAAAAAATTAAAAAAATTCAGCTTTGTGCAGCTCTTCGCTTGATTTAAAACTCAAGGGGTTTATGGCAGCTACAAGATAATAAAACCGATTTTGAATGTTAAATCAACCCAGAACTCATCACGAGGAGGTGGCCGCACCTCGAGTTCCACCCACCCATTTATCTAAATATATCTTACTAATTTATATAAAGATATCATTACATTTTTGGGAAGTCTTTTCTGGTATCAAGTTTGGCACGTATGTACGTAGAGTTTTCAAAACACCCGATTCTCTTTTCTATTTTTTGACATTGTTATTAATGTTCTGATAACTTGGAAAAATAAAATAATATAGCAATTACAGAAGACAACTGAATTAGGAGGTTAGATATATGAGAAGATAAAAGTCAAATATTAAATTAAAGGAACAGCCTGAACTAAAGATAAACGACCAAATAACTGAACCAAGACGTTAACGTTAAGTATTAGGTGCAAATACGAGATGGTAGTACAAATTAATTTTCTTCTACAATAAGACCGAGATCGATATTTTCTGGAAATAATCGGTCTGCTGCATCATCGATGCTATTTAGTAAACGTGTTGTTGGAAATCTAATATTATTCTGGTGCCTTCCGTATCCAAGAAACCACAACACTGATGCAACATGTGAGCAAGTACTTAATGTTCTCGAACCACAAGGACATGTACAATAATAGTAGAGAATTGTATCAATATTTTCATTAAGTTCCTCTTTGTATGCCAACCACAGCATATATTTAGTTGCGTTTCTGAACCTAGAATATATTCAAAAACGTAAAAAATTATTCTCTTCTCTAAACTCGTCTATTTCTATGATGCACTTAAATAAATATGGTAATAATCTACCAAGTTTTTTAGAAAATTGATCTCTACTCGAGGAAATTCAAGAATGTGCATGTGGTTCAGTCTTCGTCACCGACCATTTCTGGTAGTCAGATTTTGGGCTTCAACGCGTGTTTGTCATATAGTTTGTTTAAAATTTCAACTGCTATGTCCATTATACCTGGTACATTTATAAGATAATATCTGATAAAAACCACTCAGACTAACGGCATGGTGTATGGATATGCGGCATTTAAAAAATTTAAAAATGGATTTAAAATGTCCATTTCTGGCTTCGATAACTCAACGAGTTTTAGTTATTAGTCTCGCTCTATTAGCTTCACTTGTTGATAATTGCCGTTGGTTTTGATGAAGTAAAGGTGGAATATAAGTAATTAAACCAAGTTCTTCTAATCTAGGAATAACATCTCTGTAGCCTCTATCTACTATTACTATATCTCCTTCTTTAATATAGTTTCTAAATCCATTATTATCATTAGCCAATTGCCGCCTTAAGATTTCTCCATGATGATTAGATGCATCAGAAAATATATCCGTCAGGAGCTACTGTAATTTCTGGCTTAACTAAATGTTCCTTCTTAAAATAGCAATAGGACTGACGTAATATTCTAAAATTACTACAATTGAGTTACATGTACAATCGACATAAAATATGGCCTTTGGAGTATCTGCTATGGGATTGTAAAGCTTGTTTACGAGTTCAGGGACATAATTTATGATTAATTTTCTCTGGATATTGATCTAAATCCAATATTACAAATCTTTGAAACAGGGACATACGAACATTAGATATGACTATGCTAGTGACTTGTCGGGATGGATAATGAAAAAGTAATTTTATGAACTCATCTGACAATCCATGTCTTAGTTTAACAAGCAAAGCAAGTAAATCTTTTTGAGCAATGTTTCTTAAGTTACCATATTGTTCTATTGGTTCACAAAATTCATATTATACTTGGAAATTCTCTTTAGAAATTGAAGTTAAACATTTAAATTCTTCTAAACTAAAAGTATTTATTTTTAAATTTTTACATGCTCTTGTTCAGTTACAAAAAAATTTACTAATGAAAAAAACAAACTACCTTCATGAAAAAATAAAAAAAAAGATCAGAGGTCCACAACATTAATGTACGATTTAAAAATAATCTAACAATCCCTAAACACAATACTTCTTTATTCAAATCATGTTTCTCTTATAATATAGCTAAACTTCACAATATGGCTCCCCAATTGTTCAATACCCCGCCACTTTCCCATTTCAAGAAAATCGTCAGACTTCACATATTTAATGGAAAAATTAATTACGTGATTTAAAAAAAAAACAATATAATAATAAAAAAAAACACGAAAACAAACAAAAAAAAAATAAACAAAACAAAAAATAAAAAAAATAAAATTTAATTTTCAAAACACAGATCTACTTAAAACATTAATATAAATAGTATATAAATTTTAGTTCATATGATTGGGCCCATGAACACTTTTAATGGGGACAAGTAATTTAACATATCAAAAATTCAGACATTTTGACGGTACTCCTGTTTGCATAAGAAAAGTGCGTTATATGGAATCACCCCGTATTTCTAAAAATGAAATATGAGTGTTTTATGAGAAAATATTTTTTTTGCAAAGATTTTTTTTGAATATATCATATAAATTTGGTTGTGTGTATATGTATTATTAAATTTTAAGGAAATGTCCTAACCTTATATCTAGTATACTATTTTTATAAAAATAAATGTGGGTACAGTTTACTATTTTTTATAATAAAGTAAATTCGTATTTCCCGTCACTAAGGTATAGAATTATTGGTTAATCCATTAGGGTTTGCTCATTTACATTTTATAATGTATTGTATTCGAGCTTTTTCAGGGTGGTCATACTAAAAGCTAGTGCAAATTGAGATAAAAAGGTATCAATATTTACTTTTTCTACGAACTCTTACAAAAAGACATCTTTCGCCACAGGATACTTTCAGCGAAAACTTGATTTCCGTCACTAGTGAGAAAAAATCCCATAACGTTTACTTTCGTCTCTAGTGACGAAAGTAAGTTGTTACATATTTTCATATATCAGTCGCCTCGTATAATATTTTGGCAGCTTATAATTATTAATAATGAAATAAAAAGATGCTCATTAAATTCTATATGCGTTTTTACCTAAACTTTAATGAATTAAAGATAAAATAAAAATGTATAAAAATAGTGCAAATTAAACCAATCTACATCTAGTTTCCTGGTTTTCATTTGTTTATTTGAAGTTTTATCACTTTTGAGAACGGTCAGTTTCAGTTCGTTCTAAATTTAACACATTTTCATGATGTCTGAGTCAGAAAGCGATTGTACTCCCCCAGAAATTATTTTTAAAGCTGAAGAAACCTCTTCAGATTTATTACCGGCCAAATCAAAAAAGAGATATGAAGAAATTTATATCAAATTTTTGGACTGGAGAGAAAAAAATAAAGTGAAATCATTTTCGGAAACTGTACTACTGGCATACTTTGGAGAAATATGTTCAAATTTTAAACCGTCGACGTTATGGTCCATTTATTCGATGCTAAGAACTACACTCTCTGTTAAAAATGATGTCGATATTAGTAAATATCCAAAGTTACGTTCGCTTTTGAAAAGAAAATCTGATGGTTTGAAAAGCCAAAAATCCAAAAATTTTTTCGCCTGAAGACATAAAGACTTTCCTAACGAATGCACCTGACTATAAATATTTAATAACAAAGGTAACGGAATTATTATTTTTATTTTACCAAATACTTAATACATAACTACTAATATTTGTAGGTAGCATTAGTTTTTGGATTATCTGGCGCTTGTCGTTGCAACGAACTAAAAGATTTAACAATAAGCGATCTAAAGGATACTGGAAGTATTCTGTTAGTTAAAATCCGTAATACAAAAACAAAAGTTCCGCGTTCTTTTCATATTTCTGGACCCTTTTATGATATTTCTAAAAAATATATGAGCCTACGTCCCGCAAACATGGATCAAATTAATTCAAGATACTTTATTAATTATCAGAATGGAAAGTGTAGCAGACAGGTTGTTGGAATTAATAAAATCAGTAAATTTCCTAACGAAATTGGTCAGTTTTTAACGCTTCCGAATCCTCAAGATTACACTGGGCACTGTTTCCGCAGAACATCCGCAACGCTATTAGTGGATGCAGGAGGTGACTTGCTTCTGTTAAAAAAGCACGGTGGTTGGAAATCTAGTAGTGTTGCGGAAGGATATGTTGATGAATCCACGAACAGTAAAAACCAAATACAAACCAAAATTTTACAATCTGTACAAAATGAGGAAACTACTAGTTCATCCGATTATGGCGCATCATCATCTGAAATGACATTTAACAGTAGAACAAATATGTCGACATCTACCTCAATAAATAAAAAGCTTGAGTGTGATACCCCCATAATTTTGAACAATTGTTCAAATATAACAATAAATCAATATTTAAATATTAAATAATATTTCTGAAATATTTAATTGTTGGTTAATTTTTTGTTATTCCTAACACAAAATAAAGCATTTGCTAACGTTTGTTTTTTTTTTTTCATTTTAGTAGGTACCTACATGACATAATAGAGTTCGTAGAAAAAGTATAGTGTTTTACTCGTCGAAAATCATTTTTTCGTCACTCGTGAAACAATATACTATTTTTCTGCTTTGAACAATCCTTTGCCATAAAAACTGTGCGATCATGCATTTTCAAATAAACTATATTAAAACATTCTCATTTTTAATTATTCTTTGTTTTATTATTCTTGATCAAAGCGAATTACAATTACCATTATCATCATCATTAAATAATTATTAAATCTTTTTTATTTGTTTACAGAAATTATGACAGTATTTTCTTCAACATTCCTGATCATATGTAGTCTAGTAGCCATTTGTGTTTTTGTATTGGAAACGGAAGGCATATTTCTACCGAAAAAGGTAATTTTATGAACATTTTAGATCTTCAAAAGGTAATATTTTTATCATTTGTAGGGAGATTATCCTTACCTAACACGAGAAAGAGTATTTATAGAACCTAATAAAAGGCCCTTCTGCAATGCATTTACTGGTAAGTAAATTTTATGTTTCATTAAGAGCTCATATACTTTATTTACTATTACACGTTTTTCATAAAGTTTGGAAAAAAAAATTAACAGGTTATGTGCCACAATAGTGAAGATTTTAACATACCGATCACAGAACAATGACAGGGAGCATTTTTAAACACACCCTGAAAAAGATATCTTAAACATAATTGATTTATTTAATCATAAATTGGTTACTGAAAAGTTTCTCACTTTTGTCATTAATCACCCTCATTTTCAGTTTCCCAAAATCTCCAAAGTGTCATACCTAATAAATTTTGTTTAGTATCCGAAGTTACACCATAAGTTACACCATTTCTTTTTAAATACCAAACAAAAGACAAAATGCAAAAATATGCCAAACATTCTGAAATACTTTAGGATAAAAATGAAACACGAAATATATAGATATATAGTGTGTTCATAATCACATTCACCATAATTGCTGATATCATTAATATAGTTAAAGAATAGCAATGGCTCTATAATACTTCCCTGGGGAACGCCAATTGATATTGAATGATTCTCACTAATTTTGGTTACTTGTTTTTTTATGTAAGGTACTCCACTGATCCAATCAAATATTTGCTTTTTATGTCACATTTTTTTAATATTTTAAGTAATATTTCATGATTGACAGTTTGGAACGCACGTTTGTGGTCTAAGAATATCGCTATAGTATCGCTATAGTATTGCTCAGTGGCCTAGCCAGCCATTCTTCATGAGAGGGGTTTTTGAGAACTATGGGGAGTGTTCCATCAAGAAAGTGAATAAAAACAAACAGTCAATAGCGATCAGTGCCAATACTATAGGAGAAATGGTGACGCGGGGACCCTCCATGGGGGGGGGGGGTTCTGACCCCCAAAACCCCTTCGTGTCTACGCCACTGGTATTGCTATAGTATCATTATTATAGTATACATTATACATATTACTCGTATATCTTATCTATCCATTCAGTAACAGTAAGTTTAAGTGCTGATCAACATAAGTGGTTAGATCTAAAACTAGATTGGTTACTAAAGAATATATATATATATATTTTTTTTCATTAAAATATTCCAACAACTATTGGTAAACTACTGACTCCAATTTTTCAGCACAAGGTAAAGTATTGATTGGATGGTATTCATCGCATTTATTTGTATTAGATGTAACCATACTAATTTTTACATCATCTGAAAACTACCATTTTCAACAGGGGTATTTATAAAATGACCAGAAGAATCCAATTACTTCAAAGCTGCTCTTTATAATTTTACTAGATAGTATATCAACCCTCTGTTTACATAATTCTTGAAGATATATTTTAAATGATTTAAAACGACAATCAATAGTTAAATAAAAGTTAAAAATTGTTATATAGCTGTTGATTGTGGTATTGATTTCCTGATTCATTTATCTCATAGAAGATGACCATATTGAGAGGTTGGATTCCCTTCTTCATTTATAAAAATGACCAAATGACTTGTTTCTAAATTGCTGAAATTCATCACTCTGCTTGTTCTATTGTATACTAAATACGGGAAATGTATTTTATTTTATTTCTTCTTTTATATTTAACATATTAGAATAAGTATAGAAATTAAACTATTATTAATATTAATAATATTATTATTATTAATATTATTAATATTATTATTATTAATATTATTAATATTATTAAAACTAAATAACGTTACATTTAAATTAAGAAGTGGCCACCCTCGTCACTATTATAGATTTCAATAAAATGTAAAGTATTTTTTGAAGGATAAATTGTATTGATGGCAACATCAAGCTCATTATTTCTTGAATTCATCGTTATTATATTTTATAGTATCTTCCTATATTTGTATTTATTTGTTTATGTAACTCACAAACATATTCTGCAATTTTTTTTTAACAATAGGTTGCGGCAGAAAACGCTCCAACCTCCCGGCGTTGACCTCCCAGGGGGAGGAAATGGACGAATCGATAAACAGCCTGCTCGAGCTGAGTGCAGAACCCGCGGTGGAGGACCTCTCGCGGCAAATAATGTCGGAGGCGAAGCTTTGGGAAGCCATCCAGGAAGCTAACGTCGAACTCAACAGGCGTAAACAGAAACAAATGACGGCAGATGGCGCCCAGAACGACGCTCCTGTTCCCGCGAGGAGTGCTACAGCTAGCTGCGCTCTGCCCCCTTGTTATATTTAAGAAGATTGTGATGCGAATGGATAGAGGGCATCAGGGCGTTGAAGGAGTGAGGAATGTTGAAAGTAAGTGGATTTTTGTGTAGGTAAACTTACAAAAGAAATGTATCCCGTTGGTAGCCTGTTTTAAAAAAGTTGTTTACGTAAATTTTATTCCGAATCAGACAAATATCGATTTTATGTTGTAGTTTTGTTCGACCCTGTATATTTTTATTGTTTTATCAAGTAGCTTTAAAAAAACGGAGATTATTATTGTCACATTATAAAAAATAGACGGTGTCTAAAAAGATTGTTATTTTTTTATTGAAGTTTTACACAAATATTACTTACTTAATAACATAGAACTTAATAACGGTTAATCTTAAAATTAAGGAATTAAAACTAGAGCTACTAAAAAGCTACAGCAAAAGCTTGATTTGTTTACGTTAATGTTGTAGTTTTTAAATTAGCAATATTTTGACCATATTATAATTAATTTTAGTCTTTACGGTACATAATTTTGTAGATTTCTAATAGTGGAATATACATACCAAAATCACTTTAAACTAAAAAAAAACATTGCAAAAATATGCACTATTGATTTTTTTCTTAAATAATCTAAAAAACCCCGTATATAATAAAACTAATAATCTGAAAAATAGAACCTGCTTAAACTCCTCGTCTAGTAAAGTCTGGCTAGTCAATCACCCTGTATATAGATATATTATTAATGATAAACTGATATTTAATTGTGAAAAAAGACTTACTATCTCTGACCGAAAGTATAGTTAATCATTGTAAAAGGGTGTACCAAATAATCTATTTCTTTCGGTATGGAGATTTTTCCGATAAATAAAAACATGTACAAGGTTTTTCATTATATTTTGACCATTACTTATTTTCATTATTCTTGTGAACACAAAAGAAAGTTTTAAGTAGAAGCTTTATTGGTTTAATTCGGCCACAGTATAACCCATTACAAGCAATCAATTGACAACTTTTAATAAACCAACAACTGCTTCACTTGGAAACATCATTTTCATAGTCATTTATGTGTTACGCTTTTATAGTTCAATAAGTCACTAAATAATTAAAATATTATGTATTTGTAATCAGGAAATGCAAGTCTACTTAAAATGACAAAAATATATAGGGTGTTACCTTAAAAAAATGAAATTATATTTTGCGAGTTATTACATTTTTAGTCGGTACAGGTAAAACAACAAAGCTTTTACTTAAAACTTTTTTTGTGTTCACAATAATAATGAAAATAAGTAGCGGTCAAAATATTGTCACGTTATGCGTGTTCTTAATAAAAATATCACAATTTACGTGTTTTAAATAATTATGGGACTATCTGTGTCTTAGGGGTTATAAAGAAAAATATATAAATTCGAACCTCAATCATGTAAGTACTCTATTGCCTTAAACTTGGCTTCGTAGCCCTTAACTATATAAGGGTTCTACTCTTAATATTGGAACCTAACAAGTCCCTGAAAAGAGTCTAAAGAAGACACAGTGTTCTTAAAACAAATCTAATATAATTTAAAACGATTATACAAAATATATCCTAACTCGACATACACAAATATAGAGCTCAATATATTAGCAAATAGACAATAAAAGATTAACATCTGTCACAAACCTTAGCAAACTATTCAAAACGCAGTTATTCAAAATACAAAAAAAAGACTTTTAATTTAAACTATAGATATCCTGAGCTGGAGCTGCTACTAGAATTACAAGGGAGGGCTCCTATGGGGAGGATCCTTCCCTGTGGAAAATGCCCTGCGCATCCCCTCGACATTACCTTCATAACTTTTTATAGTTTATTGTTATCAAACTAATGTTTAATAATTATTAAATCACCAACCTTGCACATGATTGCAATTCAAAACAAATTGTCGACATACTTAAAGTTTTATGTACAGGATGTTATTTAAATAATTAATTAAAATTAGGAAAAATATGAATTTATACGAAGCGTGACAATACAATAAAAAATCCTGTACAGTTTTTGATTAAATAGAATGTTTATTTTTTAAACTTTATTTTGAGATCCTCTCCAAATGAATAATTAACAATTATTTTTTAATAAAATTACTAAACTAAAAAAAAAGAATTTATGTACCTATTATTATTGATTTCGATCAACATTATGGCTTGGATGTGTCAAATGAAATGTTTTTCATGTTTTTCATATTTTTGTTGTAGGTTTTCATCAGGAACGACTGCTACATTATTATAATAAAAATATTTAAATGTATTTAATAAATAACAAAATATTAATAAATCATATCTTGAGAATGAAAATTTGTATTCCTAATGATAGATGACTAACTAGGTATATAGATTGTATTTAAAAAGTTTTAATATTGTTATGTAATATCAATTGCAGTACATCAGTATAATGTATGTTTATTAAGATATGTAAGCACATGTATGAAAAAAATTAATAAATATTTTAAATCTTTCGCATTGTTTTTATTCTTCTACTTACAAACAGTGGCAGTTAATAGAGAGTTAAAGCAATGCCAGAAACGTATACGTAAACGTATCTCATGACAGCTACGCATGCGCAATATCTATTTTTCCCACGTATCTATTTATGTCTTACGTAAACGTACGTATTCTTACGTACGCCTAATACGCATTCGTATCGAACCGAGCAAATGCTTCGGAAGCATCCGATCGTACCCGATTTAATAAAACTAATGACAGATTGTTCTGTTTTTTAAATTTTGAGCCATAATACGAAACGAGTTTCATATATAATATACACATCACATTTATTCCTAGAAAGTTAATTGAAAAAAATGAATTAGTAAAAATTACCGGATATTTATAATCGATCATTTGTTATAATTATATCTGGCATGCCAAGAGCTCTAACAAGCCTAATTATGTCGATTATTAAAATTGAATCTTCCATATAAAACATAATTATTTTCCAAATTTTCTTTATGTAGAATTTGTAATATACAGGATTATCTAAATCTTCATCACCATTTAAAGCCCTTAAATTCATAATTTACTCAATTTAACTATCAAAACTTTTCTCAAAAAGTACCTAAGGTTATAAAGTTGTAGATACGTTTATGTCAGTGCTTTTGCTTTAACTGTTGTTTTCTTCCAAATTGCTCGTTTAACGTATCGTCAATTTCTACGTTTACGTCAGAGAGATACGCATACGTATCTCGCGTTGCTTTAACTCTATTAAGATGACGAACCTAACTTAGGGACGCACCTAGGGGTTGATGAAAGAGGCCTCTGCCAGGGGCGAAAGAGGGAGGGGGCGCAAAATTCACCATAAAATAATAATTTTTTAAGATGTATTTTATATTTTTTACGTAAAATATTGCATTAATTATTTAAAAGTGTTTGTATAGTTTGATATAAAGTACAATTTTTGAAAATGCATTGCGAATTTTTCTAAGAATATTCGAATATTCAAATAGTCGAATAGTCGAATAGTCGAATAGTCGAATAGTCGAATAGTCGAATAGTCGAATAGTCGAATAGTCGAATAGTCGAATAGTCGAATAGTCGAATAGTCGAATAGTCGAATAGTCGAATAGTCGAATAGTCGAATAGTCGAATAGTCGAATAGTCGAATAGTCGAATAGTCGAATAGTCGAATAGTCGAATAGTCGAATAGTCGAATAGTCGAATAGTCGAATAGTCGAATAGTCGAATAGTCGAATAGTCGAATAGTCGAATAGTCGAATAGTCGAATAGTCGAATAGTCGAATAGTCGAATAGTCGAATAGTCGAATAGTTGAATAGTCGAATAGTCGAATAGTCGAATAGTCGAATAGTCGAATAGTCGAATAGTCGAATAGTCGAATAGTCGAATAGTCGAATAGTGGTGGGGGTAGAGCTCTTTTCTCAAAGGGCGCAGGGATAGCAAGGCACGCCCCTGGCCAACTATATCTTCATATTATAAGGAAAACATCTCACTGGTAGTCCTTAATATCAGTAGGTAATCTTACTATATTATGTATAGTATCAATTTACTAGATAAATTCTAACATGTGTGCACTATATTAACAATTTGGAACAAACCAAACCAATGAAGGAACTAGACTGCTGTCAGTTTAGCATAAATGTCACATACTTTGATTACTATACGGTGCAAGAGAGAGGTCCGACACGCCCAACATAGAGCGCGGCCATTTTGATGCCTTTACCACAGTTTATAGCTACAGAATCAGTTCGCTCACTCTATGCCGGCACTTTTGATCTCAATATTCCAGTTTATACACTGCGCAACTCGGATAATACAATATATGACAACCGCCTATATTAAAACAGCAGTCTTCTGTGCATCCTGAATTTGTATCCCTGGAGTGGATGTTATTTTGGAACTTTCAACTAGTCCGATTGAGCTAACTGATTCTTTAGCAATAAACGGTGACTTCAAAACTAATATTTACTGACAGCAGCAAGCAAAATATCAGGTGCGTTTTAATCATCCCCTTCTGCTTCCGGAATTGTCGGTTCAGTCGTTTTAACCTGTCAGATTAAAACAAGAAAACCAACAATTCCGAAGCAGAAGCGGTTGATTAAAACGCACCTATTAAAAATATTACGCCAAGATGTAGGCAATACGTAATAAGGCATCAAAATGGCGGAGTTTTCTCTCCTTTTAAAAAACACTCAGAAAGCTGCGCAGTGCGACCATTCTACGTATAGTAAGAGAAAATCAAAGTATGTGCATAAATGTACATAAATCTTGTCCACAATAGACAAAAAAGCTATTTCAATATCTAAAATAAGTATTAATATACAGGGTGTCCTTTAAAATGTGTCCCAAAATTCTCAGGCAGATTCCTTAACCAAAAAATGGAAAAAAAGTTCCTATAGACCTATGTCCTAAAGTGTCCCCTAAGCGAGCAACAGCCTCTCGAAATCATTTTTTTTATTTTGATTTTTTGAATTTTCTTAAAAATGGAAACAAATAAAAGAACCAAATTTTGACTGTTAAATATGATCAATAATAGTGACCTTTTGACACCTTCAAAAAGAAATTATTTTGTCAGGGGTGTACTTGGGAATTTTTTGAAAATTTTGATTATTCATAACTTTTTTGTGTTTTTGGTAATGACTTATCCATATTTTTTTTTACATTCTACATTGAAAACTACGTCAAAAAGGAATACTTGTTTGATCTCGATTGGAGCAGCCGTTTCCGAGAAAACATCATCCAAAGATATTCGTCCACTTTAGCTTAATTTTCAATTTTCCTAAATTACCTCGGTGAATCTCGTAAATAAAAATAACTTTTTTAGCTCTCTCTAAATAATTGTAGTTCAAATGTCGTGGTGGGACTATTTTTATTTATTAATAAGAAACGGTTTAAAAAAATATTTATTCTAAAAAAACAAATCAAAAAAAATTAAAGCAGATGCTCAATGTGGCGACCATTGGTTTCCACACACAAGCGCAACCGTCGCATCATAGACTGTCTTACACGAAAAAATACTTCAGGATTATTCCTAAGAACTTCGCAATGATGAAAAACTCGTTCTTCCAATTCTTCAACTGTTTCAACAGGACTGGAATAAACCAATGATTTTAAATAACCCCAAACAAAAAAATCCATTGGATTTAGATCTGGTGAAGGAGGTGGCCAGTTAACAGGACAACCTCTGCCAATTACTCTACCCTCAAATCTTTCGTTAAGGTGCTGTCTAGCTTCAAGGCTGTAATGTGGTGGAGCTCCATCATGCATAAACCACATGTTATGTCTGATTTGAATCGGAATATTATCAAGAAGCTCATGTAAGTTATTTTCCAAAAAAAGCCTGTATGCTGCTCCATTTAACCTATTCGGCAAAACAAATGGTCCAATAAGGTAATTATCAATAACTGCATGTTATCTACTTACTTTAAGCATATTGTAATGCAAGCGACTTCATTATTTAGTCATGCTCTAATCCACCAAGTTCCTGTCTGTCTTATTTGGTCTTTGAGGCTCCACTTATCCGATTATCATACATAATTAAACCCCTTAAGACCAAATATATGTGACAACTATGGCGAAGGTGCTTTCGATTACTTCTAGAACGTACGTGATACTGTTTCTATACTCTGTTTTTAAACTAGGAGGAGCGAATTGAAAAGACGCATTTACACAGGGAAAAGTAACTAGATTTGTTACTAAGAGCGAGTTTCGAAATATAGTCGTGTTCAAAATTTTTGAAATAATTCTTTGTCGGCCTTAGTCGGCGAACGGCCAATGAGGGGTTAAGAAACGAATAAATGTCATAGAAGTAATTTTTTAATTGGTCCCAGACAACGATCGCAAATTTCACATTATTGTGATCTGAAATGTGTGTCTAAAACAACATGTCACTATCAAATTAAAGTCAATATGGTTGTTGATTGATGTCAGAAGTACTTTTTTCTTGCTTTTGAAATCGACTTTTTGAGAATAACTATGATCTTTTTAAAATGGATATTAAATATTTAAGAAAATTGTTAATGGAATATACAGATGTAGCCAGGTTAGTATAAAATATAAAGATCTGTTTACATTTTTAAGGATAATTTGTTATAGGTATAAAAAGTAAAAGTTAATTAGTGAATGACAAGTGGATCACACAGTAACTGGTATCTCTTCTATGAGTAATGTGGATATTATGGCTTATTTAGTATTAACACAATGCGCTAGAGGGCAAGTAAAGGCATTCAAAAGTTTACAGGCCTATGAGTCAGAATTTGTTTTGAAAACTGGAACCAACATTTTCATAACACTACATGTCAACATATATTTTTTAAAGTGAACTATTCATACATACCTATATTAATTTTAAGTATTTTTAAAATATTTTTTGTGAAAGTAATGTTAACTCATTGTGCCAAATTAAGATTATCCCTAAAGTAGTAGATGGTGTTTTAAATGTTATAACAATTTTGTAAATAGTTTTATTCTATTCTAATAAATAAAATTTGCTTAAATATTTAGTTACATTTTAATTTTAATCATTTTGGTTAGAAATTCATCAATTTTTAGTTTTAAAAAATCAGTAATAAAATTATTTTTTTCTAAAATACTTCGGAATTCATCTCTTCATGGAAATCTTCCATCTTTTTACCTTCAAAAACCAATAATGCATTTTCTACAAAACCTTCAGAATCAGCATGTAAAATAATAAGGTGTCTTCCCTTTCTTGTAAGGCTTTTCAGGAATTGCTACCTTTAATAGTGCTCAGTGTAGAAGGAATCATAATTGTAGATTTTCAATACAATTGCTTACTGAAGAACTATTATTTACGAAATAAAGTAAAAAACTAAGTAATGGATGAGATATCAAATTATAAAATGTCAGAACTGTCAACAATATCAATTATTAGCTGATGTTCATGCTAAAAAGTAATGTGTGAAACTGACTGTAATCTGACCAATCAGAAGGCTACAGAATTGCCAACTTAAATTCAAATCGCTCCTCTTAGTTTAAAAACAGAGTATAGTTTTGGCGGACGCATTCTAGAGCTTCATCATAATTTTCAATGTGTATATAAATATTGGTGGAAGAACCCGGACCAGCCAGTCGAATACAAAAAGTTGTGAAGATAAATAGTGAACAATTTAAAGACATTCGAAATAAATATAAATTAGAATAGTATTGTTTTAAAATAAATAGGTTTTTAAACAAATTATTAACAATATATTTATAAAATTGAAAAACGATATAATTTAGGTAAACAAAACGAACAAAACGCATTTAAAAAATCTACTGTCACTTTACATCATTACTAAAATAACTTATTGGATTGGTATTAATAATGAAAATATAGGTAAATAAGAGACTATCTACATAAAATATCCAACGTTTAATAATTAAAATAATATCTACACATGGTAACAATCAATAATTCAATTTTTAATCTAAAATTAGCGTATGATAGGGAACTTTCTTGAAGTATGCAGAAGCTATAGATTTTCCTACAGATCGAACGGTTTCACTGATGGTTAAGCCAAACTCATCCAAAACATCTCTCCAATTTTCGTTCAGGAACAAGTTCATTTGGTCACCTGAAAATGCAAATGCCATGATTTACAAAGCCAAATATACGAGACACATTCTTGATAACTACAAACATCTCTGAATTAAATTCAAAATGTAATGCACAAACGAATGTACCTATTCATATTACATAAAAATAAAGTGAAAATAAATTGCATAATTTGGTATACAAAAAAGTACAAAATGTTTTAAGTTTTTATTCCACTAGGAGGAAAACATTGGTTCATTCTACTTATACCATATTGACATTGTGCATGTTAAAAGTAAATCTGTCTCTGTTTTTATAATAATTTTATTGCAGGACAAACGATAACCGTGGATATCGCCAAACGAACATCAAAAAAGTGTTGCTAACTTAGGCTGACTACTATTTCCCCCTCTAACCTTGGTCACTTCCTCATCCATTACCTGTGCTTATGTCGCGAACCCCTTAGATATACCAGCCCTGGTTTTTAACAACCTCTGAAAATTATAACACTATAAGATTGTCTGTTTCATAATGGCATATTTTCAAACCTCGAACAGATTTTTTTTCCCTACCTGCTTTATTTTTTTTTAGTTCTTTGCATGATTAAATTTAAACGTTGGCCAAAATGCACCTAGTGGAGATAAACATCTGTTTGCTCTCTAGATCCATATTTTGAGTGGATAAATCCCAGTCTCGCAGATAATATTATTTACAATGTCTTTCTATTCTCTTTCTTGCCAATTTTTTATGTTCCTACCATGCATAAATCTTCTTTTACTCTCTTAAACCATCCTAATTTGGATCTTACACGTCTCCTTTCCTCTTATAAATCCCATTTAACATTGAATGAGCCAATCTTCAATTTCCTACTACTCTCCAAACGTTTTCTAACCATTTAACTTTGGGTGGCTTTAATTTTGTTATTATGTCTTCTTTAAGCTCTTAATTTCCTGTTTTTTTTTTTTTTGGTACTGATTCGGTATTCTTCTTCTGTGATTATTTTGATTAGTCCTGATATTGCTCCCAACATTAACGCATTCTTTTCTTATTTATTGTTTCTGCTGCGTTTAGTAATATTGGTCTTATTGTGTTGTAGATCTTAATCTTAGTTTTATTTATGGGTAATTTGCTTCTAAAATTGTTTTTGTTGCGTGGAAGGCTTAATTATTTGTAGTACTATTTTTTGTTATTTTAAGTTTCCTATCTCCAGTTCTATCTATTATGATTCTCAAATTTTTGAACTTTTTTATTTCTTCGTATTCTTATTTTATAGTCTATTTTTATGTATGAGAGAGTATTAAAATAATAAAGCGTTCGTAATCCATAGGCGTACCACTACTTTTAGTAGACAGTTAAAATATTTTTTGAAGTTATTCCTCGAGTATACACTTATATTTTCACCTAATTAACCTGACTATAACTTCTAAACAGCTGAAGGTAAAAAAGTGCAATTTTTTCTAAAATGTTTTATTTTTCCACAAGGTATGTTAAGAACATTGTGTCAAACGGGTTATGTAGGTATAAGGGTTTAAATTTTGACTTTTAAACAACGTTACGTTCATAAATAATAATTTTAATATAAAAACTACTTCTTACCTACAAATCCAAATCAGAATCGAAATCAGAAGATGAACTGTCGCAACCAATATTTACAATGAGTGGCTCGATCATTTCATCAGTAATATTGTCCAACTTCCACATTTTCTCTTCTTCTTTAATCGTATGATTTACTGCATTTTTCCAGTTTTCAGGCTTCACATTATGTACAACCTCCAAAAACAACTGTTTAACATCACTCATTTTAAAAGAATTATTTTTTCTTATAACTTCTCCCTTCATCTGTGCCCATATCAGTTCAATCGGGTTTACTTCGCAATGATATGGTGGTGATCTAACCACCGTCCATCCCACGATTTTTTGCAATTTCATAAATTTCATCAATTTCATATTTTTTGAATTTCTTTTATGAAGGGAACACAAATGATACAGTTCTTTTCTCACAGAACCGGGATGGAACTTAATATTCTTTGAATTTAGCCAATTCTATAAATCCTTTTTTAACCACTTGGTTGTGGGCATTTTTACTTTCCTATCTGTATACAGATATAAGGAAAGTATAGGAATCATGATTTTTTTCGACCTCGAGTTTTCGATGGATTTTTACGTTTTGAGGTCCCCTGAATCCGTTTTGACTATTTTCGCGATGTGTGTGTGTGTGTGTGTGTGTGTGTGTGTGTGTGTGTGTGTATGTATGTGTTTGTGTGTGTGTGTGTGTATGTGTGTGTGTGTGTTTTTGTGTGTGTATCTGTGTTTGTGTGTGTGTATCTGTGTGTATCTGTGTGTGTGTGTGTGTGTGTGTGTGTGTGTGTGTGTGTGTGTGTGTGTGTGTGTGTGTGTGTGTGTGTGTGTGTGTGTGTGTGTGTGTGTGTGTGTGTGTGTGTGTGTGTGTGTGTGTGTGTGTGTGTGTGTGTGTGTGTGTGTGTGTGTGTGTGTGTGTGTGTGTGTGTGTGTGTGTGTGTGTGTGTGTGTGTGTGTGTGTGTGTGTGTGTGTGTGTGTGTGTGTGTGTGTGTGTGTGTGTGTGTGTGTGTGTGTGTGTGTGTGTGTGTGTGTGTGTGTGTGTGTGTGTGTGTGTGTGTGTGTGTGTGTGTGTGTGTGTGTGTGTGTGTGTGTGTGTGTGTGTGTGTGTGTGTGTGTGTGTGTGTGTGTGTGTGTGTGTGTGTGTGTGTGTGTGTGTGTGTGTGTGTGTGTGTGTGTGTGTGTGTGTGTGTGTGTGTGTGTGTGTGTGTGTGTGTGTGTGTGTGTGTGTGTGTGTGTGTGTGTGTGTGTGTGTGTGTGTGTGTGTGTGTGTGTGTGTGTGTGTGTGTGTGTGTGTGTGTGTGTGTGTGTGTGTGTGTGTGTGTGTGTGTGTGTGTGTGTGTGTGTGTGTGTGTGTGTGTGTGTGTGTGTGTGTGTGTGTGTGTGTGTGTGTGTGTGTGTGTGTGTGTGTGTGTGTGTGTGTGTGTGTGTGTGTGTGTGTGTGTGTGTGTGTGTGTGTGTGTGTGTGTGTGTGTGTGTGTGTGTGTGTGTGTGTGTGTGTGTGTGTGTGTGTGTGTGTGTGTGTGTGTGTGTGTGTGTGTGTGTGTCTGTGTGTGTGTGTCTGTGTGTGTGTGTGTGTGTGTGTGTGTCTGTGTGTGTGTGTGTGTGTGTCTGTGTGTCGCATAACTCATGAACCGATACACGGAAAAACACCATATTTTAAACTTAAGCTTTGTTCCAGCGTCCAATGAGCTGACTGATTAGATTTTGGGCAGAGTCGGAACATCTGGGGGGGTACTTTATAGGTGGTCATTTTTATATTTTATGAAATATATCTGTTATTTACGTTTGGGGAAGAAAATTCTTCAAATAAAAGTTAATTCTTATATTATTATCTATAATTTTTGTTATATACAAAATTTTCCTAAAATGGTCCGTATTCGAGAAATTTGACAAAATGTGCAAAATTCTGATTTTTATGAAAATTTTTGAAATAAAAGTTGTTTGCGATATCGATTTCTATAATTTTTGTTTATACATGATTTTTCTAAAATGGACCGTAATGGAAAAATTGTAGGAAAAGTGCTAAATTTAAATTTTTTAATATTTTCGTTTTCAATGAATATATATAGAAAAATGTTTCGAGGTAGATGTATGTGGAAAATGTATATATTTAGTTTATCCTCTAAACATTTATAGAAGTGCTGCAATAGATTGTACAAAATAACCGGAAAAAGCCTGTAATAACTAGATAGGAAAGTCATGTGATAACTTACTATTTATTATACAGTTCTGAGGAAGAAGATCTATAATTTGTTCGAACCACTCTTTAAAGACATTAGCATTCATGTCCTCATGGTAGTCACCGGTACGAGTAGATTCAAAAGTCAATAAACCACCTTTAACAAAACCGTTTGAACTACCGATGTGTACTATTATTAGTCTGCGTCCCTTTCCTTATGGTGGATTTAAACCAGTAGATAAATTATTTAAAAAAGCCTGTCTTCGACTTATAACAGTTTCATCTTGCCAAAATTTATTTGGTTTATGTCCCTCGTTGATCCATGTTTCATCTAAATAAAATATATTTCTTCTTTGGTTTCTCATTTCTTTTATAGACCTTAGGTAATTTCTTCTCCAATATCGCTTCTTTCTATTAAAATAGACTTTCTGGAATGCTTTTTCCATAGAAAACCTATTTCTTTTAAAAGTTTCCATAGTGTGCTTCGACTCATCTCGAACCGTGGCAAGAACTTTGTCTACTGTCGGAAATTCTTTTCTAAAGAAGAACAACTCTGTAAATCGTAGATTTCCCAACACCAAGCGTACTACTAACTAATTCCACTGTGTCATCAACACTTTTACATAAATGTTTGTCTTTAAATGATTTAAAACAATTAAATATTAATGTTTTTTCATTAACTGTTAAAGGACCGATTTTTTGTCGTTTACGCGGCCCTTCCAAATTTTCCATGATCACACTAAAATTCACACTGCACCTTGCAAGTTGCAACTAAACGACATTTAGTAAACTGTCAAGAATACACAACTTGGACCTCCTTACTAAATGGAAAACCTATGATCGCATTTTCGGTGAAATTTGTTGGGAAGGTATTTATCTACTTATAATTCGATTACTGTAAGAAATTCTTGGAATTAAAATAAAACAAAATTGGCAAATAGGTACTTATTGAAAATAATCTTAAGGTACGGCTATGTAATCTTTAATACACAGGGCTTTTGGCCTGTCCAAACCTTTTTCTATTGTTCTGTATAGCTTATGTTTATAAAGGACCAATAAAAGACCCAAAACTTGTAATAGCTCAGGTAAATTTATTACAATTTTAGGAAATATTTAGATTATTCTGTAAAAATATTTAAAATTACCGTACTAAGTTTTGCATTAGAAATGCTGTTTTATTACTCTCTCATACATAAAAATAGACTATAATACTTTTCCATGTTGTATCTATTATAGTTGAATATTACACAAATTATCTAATAATAAAGATAATTGATAGAAATAAATATGAACCTAAACTTTTAATAAATTATTACAACGTACTTACCCATAATTTTGTCTCCGTCAAAAAGATTGTCCAAGTTGAACTTGACGCCTTCCAGTTTAAAGTCGAGTTTGTCTTTGTCTGTCAGTTGCAGGTAATCCAAACCGTTAATATTTTCGATGCCGTATTCTAAATTGTAGGAATATTGTCCACCAACTAAAAAATTAATCAAAATAAAACATTAGAAATGGAAAATTTAGTTGATACAATTTTAGAAAATAAAAAAGATGTTATTTCAAGAAAATTAAAATTGTTTTTGTTAATATTGATCCATAGAAAAAATAAATTAATAAGTTAAAATTCATTAGAATCGGAAGGTTATTAAAAAGAAAACTTTATTAGGTAACAATGATAAGTAAAAATTTATTTGAAGTTATACGGAATTGTTTGCGTGAACAAAAGATTCAATAAAATTTAGCACATTACCATAAAATAGTTTTAAAGAATGACCAAAAAATAATTTTCTGAGTGGAAATACAAAGTGTATCGAAGTAAAAGTTCGATAACCATCGATTACACGAGTTGTATTTGTTAAGATTATTTATCGATAATATTTTCTTTCACCGGGTCTCTTATTTCTTGTAAACTATGCTAACCAAATCTATTATTCACAAGAATAGCTCCCAGAAAGTTTTAAATACCGCCATGGGTATGCTGGCAATACAATAAAATGTCTTCTTTTATAATGGCCGCCATGATAACTGGATTATATGTTGGTTACACTGATTTTAAGTTTTTGTGTTTTATAATAGGTGAACACTGACAATCTGCACTTTGTTATTACTTGTGAGTAAGTGAGTCTGTGAGTGAGTGAGTGAGTCAGTGAGTAAGATGAATAATTTCTAGATTAAAATTAAGAACAAACTCTTTTAGTTGTCAAAGAATATTGTATATTATCAATTAGTTATACCTATTGAATATTAAAAAGTGTTATGTTTAGCAATGGAGACAAGCCATCCATTCATATTAGATATTAATATGATAAAAAACCATTATTATTAGACATTCCAAACAAAATGTCTACCAGTGGGTTATGACAGGTTATGATATGGCAACCCTGTAGGGCTGGTGATTTGACAGGATCAATAAAATAGATAGTTATAAAGATTGATTATCCATGTTTTTCAAAATAGACATAAGCTTATGTCTCAAAGTAAAAATGCAGATAATTATTTTTTTACTTTTTTCAAAGGCTGAAAATTGGTTTGTAAACACATTTTTACCAAACTGATTCTGATTAATGAGCACTTTCAAGGCAAATAATCCATATAATTATGTATGTACCATTGACCCTGTCAATAAATAGTTTGATATATTTCTTATATATTCTGTATTTTTATTTTTTCTGAAATATGTATAAAAAATAAATAGACTCAAAGGTTTCGCTATGCGAGTCTTAGAATTAAATAATATTTACAATGATTTAAAAAAGATTAGTACTAATAAATAAATAAAATTAAGATTTTTTTATAAAATATTGTGTATATATAGCAAAAGTAAATTATTTCAGTTTCGCAGTGCTAAAGAATTCACTAAGCAAAACAATTTTCAAATGTCTATTAAAACTGGTGGAGAATCTTGATGTTTGAGTGATGGTATTATTATTCATAGATGTTTAAATAGCTTTAGAGATGATGGGAATCAGTGATAACAGTCTCTAGTTGAAGCACTTCTGACTAAGTTGATCGCAGATGCACTTACCATGTTTTTTTACAAATTTAAAACATTAAAAATTTTAAAAATCTTTAATGTGGTTGAAAATTGAGAGAACAAAACTTGCTTATGAAATGTAGATTATTCCTTTCTAATTTTAGCTGTGCTACTATATCCACAAGACGAATAACTGACCATATTATCTTGTTTGTCTTTTAACGCGGAAAATTTAAAATTCACAGTAATACTAAATAAATACCAAAACACTAAACACTTTTTAAAAATGTCTACAAAACATAAGCTAAATTAACACATTAAACATCCAGATTATAATTTGTTAATAATTATTAACAAATTTTAATCACTAAAATTATAAACCAATTTTAGAAACCATTTATCATATGATGATGAGTCATCCATAGTACAACATGGCTACCACTTCCGTCAGATCGATTAGATTAACATGGCATGCTCCTTCCTGACTATATATGTTCTAAGGGTAAAACCAACGTTATCTAAGGATCAATATGACACCTCACAGGCATTCTAACTGGTCATTGCTAAGTACGGAAGCATCTCCATATCATGGGGTTGTCACAGAATCCGCATTCTGCAGGGAGTGCGAACAATAAGATGAGAACATCGAGCATATCCTCTAGGATTGCCCGATGCTCTCATTTATTAAAAGATTTGTGTTAACACTGGCCGATATAAGAGAAGCACCTCTTGGCGACGTTGTTAACTACATTAAATAAGTAGACTGACTCACGAGCTACGAGGTGCCTATCATCTCAGGATGCACAATGTGCCTAGTGAGGCCTTAGTGCGAAGGGGTAACCTATCTTCCACGCATTACAGATACAGAAAGATGACACCTCTCAATAATTGGTAATTTATCGTAATTATAGAAAAATAATATTTAATTTACTTACGTGCCGTGATGTTCATATCCCCCTTGCCTCGGATGGGAAGTACCATAATATGTCCTTCAATTTCGTATTTACCTCTCAAATCAAGCATTGGAATGTCAACGTCCAATTTAATTGTTGAATGATCTATATCTATTCTGTAACAAAAAATTATTTAATTGTAACAAAATTCAAAATAATTATGTCTACTTATACAGTGTGATTCATAACTATTGGGACATAGGCTAAGGGCATGATATTAAGACCAAAATATGGCGATAGGACCAAATATACCTTGATAAAATATTGCTGTGGAATAAGATACAGGGCGTTAAAGTTTAATTTATTTTTCTATTTCGTTTTTTTCTGATAATGTCCCTGTATATTTATCAATTATTATCAAAATTGACACACAGGCATATCTTTAGACAAGGAATACCTATTATTTTATGTAATATTTCACATTTTGTTACAGGGGGCGCCACGTGAATGATTCTTGATGAAGAATATTATGTGGTAGCTTTTTTTGACGAAACTTTTTAGTATTTTTGATTAGAAAATATGATGTAAACATCATTTCTTCATAATATTGGTACACTTGTTCAAACACAATAATTTCACCCGTTTCCGAGAAAAACGCAATTGAACAGCTCACAAGTCTCAGATGGGGATTTAAAAAAATATATCATTTATGAAAAGTATGCTTTGCAGTGTCAGATAATTGTGTCTGGTACATGTCATTTCTTGTCAGTGGATTAATTTTGCTGTGATATTATAGTCTATTATAATTATTATTATTATTATTACTATTATCAATATTATTATTATTATTTAACGCCCTGTATCTTATTCCACAGCAATATTTGATTAAGGTGTATTTGGCACTCTTGCCGTATTTTGGTCCAAATAACCTGCCCTTACTCTTTCTATGTCCCAATAGTTATGAATCACCCTATATATTATAAGACACGTAAAATACCACTCCTTAGGTTACCACTAATGAATAATTATTGGTCATGTGCACCTTGTGGATATTATATGGATAGTTAAAAGTTAAAACAGAGAAGGAAATAGAGAGGACAGAAAAAGGTAATTTTAGACCAACCAGAGGATTGCGACCAAATGATGGATCGCGATTTTTTTGGTGGACGAAAGGTCTATTTTGACATTTTTTATGAAAAGTTAATGAAAGATAAAGTTATAATTAAGTGCTTACAATGATAGTGTATTCAGATTATGGAGGCAGAGGCTGAAGTGAAAAATAGAAGGAATTACATTTCACAGTTAAAATATATTAAAGTATATATAACCCTAGTGTAAAACTAGAAAACTTATTTTTTATCTAGTTTAATATTTCAAAGGAATCTATGTTAAGCAAGCTTAAGAATAATTGATCCAAATTTGAGCTCAAAAAGTTGATATTTTCATTTATTAAAACCTTTAAATTGCCGAATATCATCCCAATAACGTTTAATAAACCATTAAAGTTTAGTGGCAGCGGAGTTACACATAATAACTAATTTTAATATTTGTTACTTATTACAAAATGGGTTTTATTTATTTTCACAGAATTTGTTTTCATTACTGTTTTAGATTTCCTATAAATAATCCAGAAAGAAATTTGTTTAAGACATTGTTCATTTAATTAATTTCTGGTTACGCTACTGTTTATAGCTTAGACTGACAAAGATATATTTTATGTCTTCGTTTAGCATGGCAATATGACAATCTAAACGCAGCAAAAAAATTCAATTTACATGAATTATTTGAATGTTTTTATCGATTAATTAAGAATTAGTACCAGTAGATTTCCATTTCATTATTTTAGATATGCAGTCATTAAGGTGTATTATTTGTATTGGAACTTTTCTCTAAAACATTAATGACAAAGTTTTTTTTTTTTGGCATTTATACCTATGTTTAATTTGGTATTTTCCTCTAAATATAACAATTATTCAATTAATGTTTATATTTTGAAACCTGCTATTCTAGAATAAAGTGTATTTACAGTTTATTAGTAGGAATTATACAGAGAGAAAGTATTGATTGTTATCAAAATTCTAAAAATAGGTCAATTTAGCTTATAACTTTTTTAACATAATACTCGCATTTTTGGAAAAATTTTAAAACCGGATTAATTTTGTTTTTAAATTATGCACTATTTTATATAATATTCGAAAATACAGGGTATTGCGTGTAAATGTATTGACATCATTGGCATTTTATAAATACCAACCCTTATTTTTCATTTCATATTCTGACACATCCAATTGCCAACATGGTAATATAATAAGTTTGTTACCTTTTAAAATAATTTTTTAAAAGAAAAATAATAATTGTGAAGACGGGAAAGTACATTTTTAATTATAATTTACACGCGTCACCCTGTATATCCCAATATTCTTTTAAAAAGTGCGGAATTTAAAAATAAAATTAAACTGTTTTTAAAAAGGTATTTGTAAAAAACTAAACTAAATTTGAAATTTGAAATTCCTATTATACCTATTATACCTCAATGTAAAAACCTAGGTCTTGTTGTAGATACAAAATTGCGATTTAAGGAGCACTATACGGCTAAATTAATAAATGCTTATACTAACCTAAAAATGATTTACTCTCAAAGACAATTTTATCTTTAGATTTAAACAAAAAATGCTTTGTGGCGCATTGGTACTATCACACTGTAATCACTGTGATTTAGTTTACGGGTCATGTTTAGATAGTATTGACTCTCGAACAATTCAAAAACTTCAAAATTCATGTACTCGTATTCGTTTAATATTTAGGACAAGTATCAACATATTTCTCATAAATTGAAAGAATCGAAATGGCTTACAATGTATAACCGAAGAATATTGCATAGTAAACTTACATACAGAACAGATATCCATAATCTAAATATTAGAAAAAAAACTATTTTGCGGATTCCTACACATAATAAAGCAATATTTAGGCGGAATGGGACGTTTCGACGCAGCCGTTTCGACGCGAGGACATTTCGACGCTGGCCAATTCGACGCCGAGCCATTTCGACGCCAAATGTAATTTTTTTAAGTAGGTAATAAATTATTAAAAAAAAATATTTGAAAGGTCTATTTTTTTGCAAATCTATTCTTTGTATAAAATTGGGTAACTTATCTTGTTCCTTAAATATTCGCAGTAAGCATTGATATATAGCTGCAGTAAATATGTAACCATTAGCTGGCTTATGTTCTCATATCTATAAAAGGCATAAACAATTAATCTCTGAAAATTAGGTATCTAAAAAGATTTTTAATGAATTACCTAAATGTTAATATTAATACATAATTATCCCATTTTAGGTACCTGATCCTAGTTAGATTAAACAATTAACTAATTTTTGATCCTAAATGTCGATAATTCATTTCCATTACAATATATATACAGGGTGTTTCTAAATTTATGCGACAAAATTCAGGAGGTGATTCCTCGTATGAAATTAAGATGATTCTTTCCTATTACAAAATTTCCTCAGCCCACCCCTTTCCGAGATATCACCCTAAAATTGAGTTTTTTTTTTTCTAAAATTTCAGTAAAATTATAAACTGGAAATTTTGTAATTTTCGTACACTCGCAAAGGACTAACCTTGGGTATTTTTTCAATATTATGAATCGTATTAAATTTTACATCTTTACTGTTTTCCACTCAATTTATTAAAAAAATTATAAATTAATGTGTTTATTTTTTTCTCTGAAGCTATTGGTTTTTGGAAAAAAATTTAAAAATAATTTTTTTTTTTAAATGAAACAAGGATTTCAAGTTATAATTTTATTTCATAAAACTTCATCTCGAAAAAAAAATTTGATATGAAATAAAGTAAGGGTTGTTAATTTCACCCCCTTATAATGTAACAGGGATAATGAAAAAATACCCGTGATTAGTCCTTTGCGAGTGCACGAAAATGACAAAATTTCAAGTTTCAAGCTTTACTGAAATTTTAGAAAAAAAAATAAAAATTCAATTTTAGGGTGATAACTCGTAAAGGCGTGGGCTGAGGAAATTTTGTTATAGGAAAGACCCATCTTAATTTCATACGAGCAATCACCTTCTGAATTTTGTCGCATGAATTTAGGACCACCATGTGTTTACAGATTTTGATGGACTCAAAACATTGGTTTGTTGATGGAACATTTAAACCAACTGCCTCAATTTTTTACCTACATAATTATAGCTAAATTTGGGGGAGTTCATCCTGTTCTTTAAACTCTCCTGCCCAACAAACGGCAAACTACATAGGCCCAAATGATTGGTATGATGGGACATTTACAGCCAGCTGCAAATCCGGATAAAATTTCACGCGATTTTGAACTGGGAGCCATAAACGCTTTCAAAGAAGAGTTTCCAAATGCAGAGCTGCTAGATTGTTTTTTTTTAATTTGGTGAAAAATATGAAAAAAACATTTGGTGCAAATGAATTTCCTGGTTCAATATAATACCGATGCTGATTTCAGTCTTCATGCACGATTGGCGAAAATTTTGGCATTTGTTCCTGAAGAAGACATGGATATTGCAATCGACCATTTATTTGGAGAATTGTCTAACGAGTTGCAACCTCTAATAGAATGGTTCGAGGACTTATACGTAGGACGTCCTCAACGACAGGGTCGAAGAAGGCGCAAATCCACCCTTTCCGATCACATTGTGGTCTGTCTACAACCGCGTTTTGTAGGGCACATACAGAATGAACAACCACGCCGAAGCTACACACAGACGACTTCAAAACGAAATGTCTATAGATCATATAACGATATGGAAATTTATTGAAGCACTTAAAAAGATACAAACAGGAAGGGACTTGTTTTATGAACAATTACTGTTGGGCCAGCGGACGCCAGCTAAATAAAAAAAAACATTGCGATTGTGACGAGAGGATTTTAAATATCGATTATAAAAAGAGAAATATAAACAAATATTTAAAAGCAATATCACATAATTATATTATGCATTATTAATAAAATTAAAAGAGACATTTCAAATATATTATTTTGTATGAATTATTACCTACCTAAAAAAAATACAGTTGGCGTCGAAACGGCCCGGCGCCGAAACGGCCGGCGTCGAAATGTCCTCGCGTCGAAACGGCCGCGTCGAAACGGCTGCGTCGAAATGACCGCGTCGAAACGTCCTAGACCGATATTTAGAAGATCCTTCTCGTACGTCGCCGCTGTCAGTATTAACAAAATATTTAAAATGGACCCAAAACTTCTTCAAAACTCTCTAGGATCATTTGAGAGATTATACAAGGAGATTTTGTTAAAAGTTTTAGTGATCTTAATAATTTCTCTTTCAGTAATATTAACTCTTTTCCTTTTTCTCCCTCCCTTTCCTTCCTTATTTTCGCTACTTTTTTATATATGTCGTAGCCATAATGCAAATTTAGGAATATTATAAAATACCTAGGCGTTTTACAAAAAGCCGGCAAAACGCGAGTATAAAACGCATTTTTCGTTATGCCGACACCAATTCAGGCAAACTGATAAAATGCCGGCAAAACAAGAACCAGAAAAATATATATCATGTTATGACTGATTATTTTCAGACATTTTACAATTTGCCGAAAACGGTGCCGTCAAAACGTGAAAATAAAGTTAAAAATACTACTAAATATAAAAAATACAGTTACAGTAAATCTTTTTATTAAGAAAACATTAAACAGTTTACACTTCATATACCTTTTAACTTTAGTAACTACCTAACACAAATATGAAACTGCAAATAAAAAACAAATCCTTTGAAAATAATAGGATATTCTTATAATTTAACATGTAAGTAGGTAAGAATGTACCTACGCTATTACTAATATAAAAGTATAACTAAAAATGGAAAACTTATTCTTTATTTATTACTGCATGTCAAACTTCCATGACATTTAGAAGAGCATAAATTATTATTTTTAAAGCAAGCACATTTTTTTGTATTGCACTGTTTTCTACGAGCCTTACAGCTACATTTTTGAAAGCCTTGACCTCCGAATCGCGACTGATATGCAACTGCCTCTCTGAGAGTAATTAGTCGATCAGGAACTTCATCTTCAAAACCTACTGAGGATTCTTGAATATCATTTCTAGAAAATAAAGTTTTAAGAATTCCTGTAGAGGTATCTAATTTGTAAAGGCTATTTTTCAGGTCAATCACTTTTCCAATGATATTCTTGGAATCGAGAGGTCCTCGATCTACCTTAGGAACTGTTAACTAAACATATGATCAGATTGCAATCGACTTAAATTTTTTATTGGATGCCTCAGATGCATCTTTGCGACTGCTCTTTTTTGACCAGAGTAAGATTGTTGTCTCTTAATTTCAATTTTATTTTGAGTTTCACAAAGTGAACAAATCTTTGTATCTAGTTTTGAAGATGGTCCTGAACTTAAAATTATACAATTTGAATGCATTGTGGCATTACATATCTCACAAAAGAAATTAGATTTGTCATTGTCAAGTTGAATGCTACCGAATCAAGATTATCTTCTGGCATTTCCCGTTCAGTGTTGTTGGTTCGTGAAGGATTCATTATATTTTCAAGTTCCTCTCCTATCCGAAGCTCTTTAATTACAGAATCTGGCAGGTTTGTCGATTTTAATCCAAGTTTCCGATCAGCTCCAAACAATGCACGATACAGAGTCCTTCCAATAATGCTATGTTTTGATGAATTTTTCTGCCACTGTACAAAATAGCTCCCCATGGACCAATTTGTGGAGGAGTGATCGGACATCCAGGAACGAAGCATGTTCTCAACATCTTGATTACTTCTTTCCACGATACCCTGGCTTTGAGGGTGACGTGGCCTGCCGTGAACAATTTTGCAATCAGGCCAGTAGCCAACAATTTCTTCTATTACCGAAGCAGTAAATTCCCGGCCATTGTCACTTTGCAATATGTGCGGTGCTTCAAACTCCAAAAATATTTTCAGTAATTCTATATTTACCTCTGCAGCACGTTTGGTATGTAAAGGGCGAATATGCAAAAATTTGGTCGCATGGTCTTGATAGTTAAGAAGCCATTTATAGTTTCCGTCAGAAGCAGATTGAAAATCTATTAAATCTACTTGGCCGCGAACATTAAAATCTTTAGAAAGGATTGGTCGCACAACCAATCCCTTATGCGGTTGCGATTTCTTGAGTTGACATTCCTTGCATAGTGAAATTAAAGTTTCTACTGCTCTTCTAGGAATGTTATATTTATTTTTTAATGCAAATAGCATTTTATCCCTACCACCGTGACCTGTAGATCGATGAGATTCTAGCAACACGTCAAAATAGTGTTCTATGGGAATTATGTAAACAATAGGTTGGTCAAGAGAACTTCGTTTTACGACTAAATGTTCATCAGTAGGTATCTACCGATAGACAAAATATATTTTCTCATTAAATGATACTGCTTATTATTTTTTTTTTTGTTACTTGTTGAGTCAGCTAATTTACCATGCTTAATGTCTGTAATAACTTCTTTAAGCCTGTCAGCCGTCCAAGATTTTTAATAACATCTTTTTCCACTCACTATAAAACTTTTGTAGCTGTTCATTAAATTACGCTTTCATGACTTCTAAATATCGTTTCTCTTTCTCGATTTGTATGTCTTTGCGGTTTTCGCTCATTTTGATGTTCCTGAATAGATAGATAAACAACAAAATAAAGGTTACGCGAAATATTAAACTATAACACAGTGTGCGTTTTTACCGACCGCTGGCTGATAGCAAACTGCAAACGTGCAATTCCTAATACCTAATGTACTATTTAATCGAAAAAAGTCGACTTCTTTTACATCTATTCACGTTTTAACGGCACCGTTTTTGGCAAATTGTAAAATGCCTAAAAATAATCAGTCACAACATGATATACATTCTTCTGGTCTTGTTTTGCCGGCATTTTATCAATTTGCCTGAATTGGTGTCGGCATAACGAAAAATGCATTATATTCTCGCGTTTTGCCGGCTTTTTGAAAATTGCCTAGGCAGTTTATAAAAAGCCTAACTTCTCATTTTGCCTACGACATATATATTTTTTTATTCAAAATAATTGTTCGTCATTTATATTATTTTACTGGCGCTAGAAGAACAGGAGTGAACTCTTATTTACGACTGAACTAGTCTGTCCAATTACCTACAGTGATATATATTATGTAAAAATAAAAATCTGATAAAATAATAATAAAAAATGATTTATTATTATTATTATACCTACAAAAATGAGTACATACTTAACATCCTTCAATATGGTTGTGTCCAAACCAAAAACGTGCACATGCTTTAAATATATCTTCAAGTTATTTCCTGCCTTGACGTCGATTTGAGGAATAACCAAAGGTAACATATTTGGAATGCCCATCTTTCGGTCGCCCTTAAAAATGTAGGGCAGAGCTTTTATGCCGTGTTCCAAACAACATTTATCGAAATTTGGGTCGCTTCGTGAACATGGTTTTATGTAGGAGGCTGAAACAAAAAGAAGAAATGTTAGATGAATGTTCAGAAAAAAAAATTGTAAGTGGTGCCTTGGTGGCGAAGAACTAACTTTTATTCATGACTATTTCACTAGACCAAATATCAGCGACTATTTCTCTAGAGAAATAGTCAATATTTAGCCTAGTGAAATAGTTGTCTCAAATATAACACGACCTTGATTAATATCTGTTATATTTGTTGTTGTTAAATTCCTCGACTATTTTACAATTTGATTCGATATAATTTTGGAATTAATAATCTGATTATTATTGCCAAATTATGTCTCTTTAAATTAATATTAAGATGTTCTCGAGATTTAGACGCAAAAAAATAGCTGACTATTTATCAAGGTCTTGATTATTTTCTCTTCTGTCAAAACAGTCAACTTTATTAATTTCAGCCAACACCTTCTTCGTTTTCATTTTTTTTATATAAAACTGTGTTTACCTTATGAACTGATGACTTTATAGTGTTTATACATAATCTAGCAACTTTTATTAAAGTAAAATGTATTTCAAATCTATGTTAATACCTAAATTTTAAAATGTTGTCAATTTTACTGCATAACAAGTAATAAAAGTAATTTTAAAAAACCGACTTTAAAATCGTGCAGATTCCAATACCGCATCTTAACCAAATTTAGATATGAGACCACCCCTGAGGTACCTCCTTACTAAAAAAATCAAAGAAATCGAATAAGGTTGTAAAGAATTATAGCTAAACATATACAAAAAAATCAAAAGTTTGAGGATTTTCTCATGGACCCAATTATTAGATTTTGACTAAATTTATATGAAACCACCCTTGAGATACCCCCTTATTAACAAAAAAAGAATTATAGAAATCGGACAAGGCGGTAAAGGATTATCCCTAAACATACATAAAAAATGAAGAGTTTAAAAATTTTCTCATGGACCCAATTATTAGATTTTAAAGAAATGTATATGGGACCACCTCTGAAGTACCCCCTTTCTAACAAAAAAAGAATCAATGAAATCGAACACCGTGTTAAATAATTATCCCTGACCATACATAAAAACATATATACCGACGAATTGAGAACTTCCTCCTTTTTTGTGAAGTCGGTTAAAAATTTATAATATGAGTCCCCTAAATGCAAAACTCGGTATTTGACGAAATTTTCAAAAGTAATGTTTTGGGGCCATTAAATTCCTTATTTCAAACTCTACCATTCTTCTTCTGGCCGGGATTTTTTTATTTAATTTAATTATTTAATATTAATTCTGATGCCTTGGTAGGATTCCCCACTGGACCATTCACTGTTGGGTTCTAATTAACAGTGCTGTTCCTAAAGTGATGCTGGAAACAGTAACAAAGCCTACACAGAACACGAGGCTAATGACCTTAGTAGTCGATACCGATGACACCAAACAAAAAAAAAGATGCAAAACTCCCTATTTCTGCATTAAAAACGCTTTAGAAAACGAAGACCAGGATAGCTATTCACTAAGTCATGGGAGCGCTCCCATGGGAGTGCTCCCATATATTTTGCTCTCTTACTCTTAGGTGGATATATCGTGCTTACTCACTTTTAGCCCAGGTACATGCGTAGTAAGGTCAGATTTTATACTATGGGAGGGAGAATTGCGGGCTTGCCAGATTAGGTCCGTATTTATCACAAAGCAAATTTGAATTACTAAGGGCTGATTCCACCGTTGAGTTAAACGGAGATTAAAATGACATTGTTAATGTAAAAATGTCATTTTAAACTTCGTTTAACACAACGGTGGATCGGTCCTTAAATAGTAGATCAAAGTTATTCTGTCGACTTGGCAACGTTGGCATGGGAGTATGGGAGCATGGGAGTGTGAGAGTGCTCCCATGAGTTAGAGAATAGGTATCCAGATGCAAAACTCTGTAGTTACCTTCACTTGTCAAATGCAAAACTACGTAATTGTAACCTGCCAATGGCGTTGCGCCTAATAGTCACGACATTAAGTAAGTGCACGGGCACGTAGAAATTTTAATTTATTTATTTGTTGTTTGGATTCTGAAGAGGCCAGAAGTAATTTCGCTTGTTTTTGCCAGTTTTTCCTAATACTTTCAATACAATTATATTGTGTAATAATTAAAAAATTAAAAAGAAAATTATAAGAAAATAAATGTTCTAAAATAAGACAACCATGCACTTATCATCGGTATTTGCAATTGTGTGTTGCAAAACTGGGTATTTTCAAAACATATATGCAAAACTCAGTATTTTAATTTTAAAAGTATTTTTTATAATTTTTGGTAGGATTTCGGTTTAAAGAGCATAGTTATTTCAAAACAAAATCGCTAGAACCAACTAAAAACAAAATTTAAAACGAATACATATGTATTCCTGACAGTTTTTTGCCCTTCCTAAAAAATTTTGTAACCAGCAAATACCGAGTTTTGCACTTAGGTGACTCATATACAGGGTGATTCATTACTAATTGGAAATATTTCAACTATAGAATCCTGAGCTCAAATTATGAAGATTTAACCCAAGTCACCTAGATAAAAATGTGTCTTCATTCTGAGTTACAGGGTGTTTTGTTTAAAAATTAAAAAATTATTTCTGTCCAGTACTTTAAAAATATTTGACGTATTATTGTCATATTTGGCGAAAAGTGTAAATACTATGCACCCTACTAAATTATGTTAAATAAACGTTTCTGGCTACCATCAGAGGCGTACGACAGGAGCAAGGGAATGCTTAATCCTTCCCAAATTCTACACCACTGGCGGAGTTGCAATTTTATCACAATTTTTTGATTCTCCAATACTACGTAAATATTTTTACGTTTTGGGGTCCTCTGAATCCGTTTCGACTATTTTCGCGATGATGTCTGTGTGTGTGTGTTTATTTCGGCGTCCTATGAACAGATTAGATTTTGGGCAGAGTCGGAACATCTGGGGGGTACTTTATAAATGGTCATTTTTATATTTTATGGAATATATCTGTTATTTACGTTTAGAGAAAAAAATTCTTCAAATAAAAGTTACCTACAGTATTATTATCAATATTTTTTGTTCTATACAAAATTTTCCTAAAATGGTCCGTATTCGAAAAATGTAAAAAAATATTTTTTTATAAAAATTGTTTAAATAAAAGTTGTTTGTAATATAATTCTCTAAAATTTTTATTCCACACATAATTTCTCTAAAATGGACCGTATTCGAGATATTTGAGAAAATGGGTAAATTTCTAATTTTGAAGAAAACTGAAAAACGGATAAAGGAAAAACATTAAGTTTTTAACCAAAGTTTTATTTCGGCCTGACGTGAAATGATTAGATTTTGGACAAAGTCGGGACATCTGGGGGGTACTTTATGGGAGGTCGTTCTTATATTTTATGGAATATATCTGTTATTTATGTTTGGAGAAGAAAATTGTTCAAATAAAAGTTACTTCTAATATTGTTATCTATAATTTTTGCTGTCAAATTTTCCTGAAATGGTCTGTATCCGAGAAATTTGACAAAATGTGCATAATTTTGATTTTTAAGAAAATTGTTAAACTAAAAGTTGTTTCCTTTATCGATCTCTATAATTTTTGTTTTTACATGATTTTTCTAAAATGGACCGTAATGGAAAAATTGGAGGAAAAGTGCTAAATTTAAATTTTTCAGTATTTTCGTTTTCAATGAATATCTATAGAAAAATGTATCGACTTAGATGTATGTGGAAAATGTATATATTTAGTTTATCCTGTAAACATTTTTAGAGATGCTGCAATAGGTTGTACAATAACTGGAAAAAGCTTATAATAACTAGATAGGAATCCCATTACAAAAAAAAAAAAAATAACTAGATAGGAAAGTCATGTGTTGGACACATTAGATTTTTTTTGTTAGTGATGTTTTCTTGTGCAAATATGGGAAAAAATGTTTGGGGTGGTACATTTCATGATGAAAATAGTAGTTTGTGCAACATAAGAGTGGATATGATGATCAATCGTCTGGGTGCGATGTGGACAATTCTTTCGAGTTGTACAGAATATTTTTTCTACGACCCACAACAAAAATTTACAAATAAAAAAAATATTTTAGGTTATTAAAACAAAATAAATAATTTTAAAATAATTTGTGACTTAACAATTTTTAAAATAAAATAAATGAATAAAAAAAAAGAAAAAGTTCATATTACTTTTTCCCATCCGAGAATCAAACTCGACTTTTCTGTTTGCAAGGTAAGAATGCTAACCACAGGACCACCTATTCTTTTATTTTTGTTGCTTTAATACTCGTAATTAAATTGACTTCATATAGTTTTATTTAAATTATTTATAATTATAGACAAAATAAAAACAGAAATGCTATTATTTATCGATTCTTCACGAGAGTAATTAAATTGACTTCATATAGTTTTATTTAAATTATTTATAATTATAGACAAAATAAAAACAGAAATGCTATTATTTATCGATTCTTCACGAGAATAACCCATTTTAATTATGTTTAGTCTCAATGACCAAAAAATATACTGACAATTAGTTTGACAGAATTATAACTTATTTAAAATTTTAAAAATAATAGGAGTCGGTTGACCAAAATATTAACGGTGATTGGTGGATTTAATTTTTTTGCAGTGTTCTCACTACCTAGCAATAGCATACTTTTTCGTTTTGTAATCTGTGCGTAGATAAGCCAATATTAATGTGGGTGTAGAAAAACATTTTTTAATGCCATTTCTCTAGGTAGGTAGGTAGGTAGGTAGGGTAGGTAGGTATACTGCATTTTCCGAACAATAAAATACAAGGGTGTCCCGAAATTAGAGGGTCATATTTTAACAGCGTAATCTACATCCTAAAATAGGAGTAAAAGTTCATATAAACATAGGCCCGAAAACGTTTCGTTTTCGAGATACAGGGTGTTACAAGTGAAGTCCTGATAGCATATTTTTGTAAATATTTTCCAAAATTTCGCTAGTCACCGTGTTTCCAAAGTTAAAAAAAAATAAAATTTCTGATTCCACAGGCCTATTAATTATTGTTTACACTTTCGAATAAGATAACATCAACTTATCTTGAAATTTTCAAATGCTTTTCTCTTGAAAATGGTGCGTCCTAGCGGGATGCAACAAAAGTAGCTTTATTATAAAGAAAACATTGGTTTTCAAAATTGTTAAAAACTGTCTAAAAAAAAACTTTAGGCAATTTTACCCTAAGCCCCCCTAATTTACCTACCTTTGAAGGCAATCAAAAACTGGGGTCTAGTCCATTAGATAGAGCATAAAAAGGTAAGCATTTGTACCAAATTTCACTTAGTTATTTTTAAACGTTTAGAAAATATTTACAAAAGTATGTCATCAGGACTTTACTTTCAACACCCTGTATCTCGGAAAAGAAACGTTTTCGGACCTATGTTTATATAAACTTTTACTCCTATTTTAGGATGTAGATTACGCTGTTAAAATATGACACCCTGTATATGTTTTTTGATCACTTCAATTTTTGATTATATTTTTCTTGAAAAATGCTGGTTTTTCTATATTTTTGCGAAAATTTACAATAGAAACTAGTTATTTTTGGGTGTTGACAAATTTTTTGCAAAACTAGCACCTGAACTCAACGAACAATTCACTTGAGTTGAGGTTAGAAAAAAATTGTTATATTTTGACAAAATCCACACTTTTTGTAACGAATTAGTCTCTACCACATTCAAAATGGTTTAATTTTTTTTCTAAATCGCTTACTTATTGTGACACTAAAGTGTTATGGACCCCACGGGAAAGTTACATTTTTAAATATTTTTATTTAACAATTTTGTACAAAAATTTGCGAAATTGTCTAAATGAACAGTTTCGAGATATGGCCAGACGCCGCCCTTAAGGAGGTCCTTTCGCCACCAATGTTAAATAAAAAATATTAGATTATGACTAAAATTAATTTTTTTCTAATAGTAGATGTCCTTATTTATCTAATAGTGAACTTTTAACTATACCTTACCGTGCAAATTTTTGAAAAAATTTTTTTTAAAAATGTGTGTGTTTGTACAGTGTCTTATGAGAAAGTAAGACTTCAACAACAATTTTCGAATTATAATTAATTTTACTATTCTTTATTGATTAGATGTAGTAGAAAAAAACTAAAAATAAGGTTTTTGAAATATTTAGGTTTCGTTTTTTACAATAAAATATATAGGTTACCGTGGAATTTATTGAGAAATTATTATTAAAAAATCACAAAAAATTTTCAACTAGGTTACTTGAAAGTTTTTATAACTTACTGACATTTCACATGACATTTTTGAGTAATTTCTAAAAAATACAATGTTACAAAATCATTTTATTTAACTCATTCAACATAAAATTTCACTCTAAATTCTCTGCTACCTGGTCATGCTGTTAATACCCAGACTACTTAGTTTTAATAATAGTAGTAATAAATTAATCTTGGCAACCCCGCTCATTATCCAGAAAAGAAATGTCAAATATTAAAATTTTCAAGTTTTAGGTTAAATTTAATAAAAGACTCGTTTTCTTATTTTCAAAAAGTATTTAATTAAAATATATAATTGATTTATACTTTTTTTTTCCTATTTCCAAACCTAAGGTGAGTTAAAATCATACTTAATATCATGTAAATCAAAAAAATTAAGTAAAACTGGTCAAACAGTGTGTCCCTAAAGTCGAACGTAACCCACATTTCTTAAAAAAACAAAAAAAAATAAAGGTCCTCAGGCCAGGTCCCTCCCTTTTGTGGCGATAGTACCGCTTCTTTTTTTTTTTTTGTTTTTTTTATTATAACTATTATTTTCTTCGCGAAGCCCCCAAAGGCTTTGCGGAGCCCCAAGGCTTCGCATAGCACACTTTGAGTAACACTGTAATACAGACATATCTTTATTCGGCTAGTAAAATTTTGTGAGAAAAAAAACTTACGTAATACTGTCGTCGAAAAGGCACAAACCACGAAAATTTGTAAAATAGCTAATACAGCGTACATCTTCATGTCGGATCAGTTCAGTTAATTGTTAAAGCGAAATAAGTAGTCCTTCTAATTAAAACTAGTCTCGTCCTTTTATATTATTTGTTCGATGTGCGCGAAGTACTACTACCGCAATTTACATCCGAATCTATTGTCTCTGAAATAAATATTTCAGAACCACATTCCCGTCACGAGGAAAACAACAGAAGTTTGCATGCTAATGAATGAAGAAAATCACTAATAATGACGCACCTGTGGTCCTGAATATCATTGGCGTACCGATTTCTTCAAAAATTTTTAAGAAAAAAACGCAAACAAAAACCGCATCGTTAATACAAAAAGATATCACGTATCACATTGGTGTTTATTTGATTTGTATGTAGAAAGCGAACTAAATAGCAAATATACCAGGGTCTTTCGAAATATACGTGCAAAATATCTACGAGGACTCTTTTAAAAATTTACGAATGTAGTTACAAACCTGTACAGCCTCAGTTAGCTTAAGGTTTATATTACCCTACAGAAATTACGTTTCGCTAACGCGAGATGGAATTACGATAGTACAGATTACGATCTAAAACTCAATATAGTTTTCTGCTCTCAACACACTTCCCTGACTCGGTCATCACAGACGTGGCGGACTGGGCAGAGGAAGAATATAATCCATCTGTCTATGTTTGGCAAACTGTCAAACACATTGTAGACGATGAAAAAATTAGATAGGCAATATCCAGCTTCTCTCCATTTAAATCGCCAGCTGACGGTATCTATATAGCCTTACTTCAGTGGGGTCTGGAAGAACTCACACCGCACCTGGTGGGTAATATTGAGATCCTCGTTGGCTCTGAGGTATATCCCCCAAAAATGGAGAAAGGTAAAAGTGGTTTTATACCCAAACCTGGAAGGATGGATTACACTGTCTCAAAACCATACCGACTAATTAGTCTGACATCGCTTTCCATGAAGACATTGGAAAGGCTATGCCAAAGGTACATAAGGGATGCAGCGATTACAACAACACCACTACACCCAAACCAACATGCATACACCCCAGGCAGATCTACTAATTCAGCCCTTCATCTATATAGTTGCTGGCTGGATAGAAAGATCCCTGGACAATATGAAGTCCGCCTTGGGTGTTTTCATAGACATAGAAGGTGCTTTTGATAAAATCACCTTCACAAAGATAATACACTCACTAACCAACAGGAATGTTCCACAAATGGTTAGTGGGTGGATACATAACATGCTCTCAAAGCGAGCAGTAAATATAAGTCTAGAAGATGTGAATATAAGAGGCTTGGTTGCTAGGGGATGTCTACAGAAAGGGATGCTATCACCTCTACTGTGGAATATGGTCCTCGACACCCTCATCAGCCGCCTAAATAATGACAGTCACTACACAATAGCATATGCAGATGACCTGGTCATTCTGTAAACAGGGATTTTTGAAAACATACTCTGCGAAAGAATGCAAGTAGCTCTAAAAATTATAGAACAGTGGTGCAAGGACCATCCACTGTCTATCAATTCTAAGAAGATAGAAATGGGGGTGCACCTGGGGTTTCTCCCCCAGAGTCGTCGCATGGATGCTAACATACGGTTCAGTTGTCTGGGTACCGTAAACCCAAAAATTAACAGCTATCCGTAAACTAGAACAAATTCAAAGAGCAGCATGTCTCAATATAACATGAAAACAACACCGACTAGAGCCATGGAAATCATTCTTAGTCTCACTCCCCTTGATATTTACATTAAGGAGGTTGCTCTAACGACAATGACATGCCTCCGTACGGTCGGAGTAAAACCTGATATAGGATCTAATGAGGCGAGACGTCACTTTTGGCAGGAGGTACTGGATACGCTCCCACTGCTTCAAGCGAATATGGACTCCATCTCACCGAAATATCTTTCATAAGCCATATAAAGTTATAATAGAACAAATAGAAGAGCCGGAAGTGGCAGGTACGATTCATATCTACACCGACGGTTCTAAAACAAAACAAGGTTCAGGATGTGGAATATACTCCAGATTCTTAAACCTAAACATAAAATGGGCTGTGAGCAATAGTGCCAGTGTAGTTCAAACAGAGCTAACGGGGATTCTCATAGCAGCAAAAGAAATAACCAGAAACAATATCACTGGAAGAAACATGTTTATCTATACAGATAGCAGATAAGCACAACTCACCCTGAACTGACCACGAATTTATTCAGGGCTAGTACTAGAATGTCACGAAGCTTTGGCCGAAGTTTCCTTCAACAACGTGGTCACCTTAAGATGGATTAAAGGTCACGCTACATCGAAAGGTAACCGTCTTGCTGATTCACTAGCCAAGAAATACTTTTTGGACCTGGCCCTTTTATTGGCCTGACAAAATCGGTAGTGACAGACCTAATCAAAGAAAATTCCCTTGTGAAATTCAAGGAAAGATGGGATGAAACAAGAAACTGCAGAGTTGCCAGGGAGCTCTTAAGTTATCCTGACAACACTGCAGCAGACAAATACTTGACTATGACTAGACAGAATCTGTGCCTAGTCACAGGTATTCTGACTGATCATTGCCAAGTACGAAAGCATCTTCATATCATGGGGCTGTCAGAATCCGCACTTTGTAGAGGGTGCGAACAAGAAAATGAGACCATCGAGCATATCCTTTACGATTGCTCGACGCTCTCATTTATTAAAAGATTTGTGTTCGGCGAGTATCGGCTAACACCGGCCGATATAAGAGAAGCACCTTTTGGCGACGTTGTCACATTAAATCTGTAGGCTGGCTCAGGAGCTAGGAGGTGCCTATCTTCTCAGGAGGATGCACAATGGGCCTAATGAGGCCTAAGTGCCGTGGGATAACCCACCCTCCACACGTTACAGATACAGATAGTTTTCTGTAATTACAAATCTTGCTAAGTGTTTAGTGCACGTTACAGGTTGAGGAAAGTCATAGCACTTCATACCAACATAGGAACCATGCTGTCAACTATCATTAATGTCCATATAAATCCCATTCCGATCTTTTAATTTTCAATTTGTTTTTGTCATTTTGCCTTGTCATTTTGCTTTAATCATTCTTTCTTGCTAATATTTCGAGTTATTAAACAAAACTGTTATTTTAAGAACATGAAACATTGTAATAATTGTGCAAAAAAGCAACTAAATAGTCGTTGCAAAGAACTGGTAGCTTCTTTAATTCAATTTTTTTAACGAGAACGAGACAATCATGGCCCTTTCTTACTTATTAAGGCTGTTCGTGAGGTTAGTCAAAAGTTTTAGGAGTATATAGAGACACAATATGAAAGTTTATATTTATTTTAGCGTGTGGCAACTGCACTTAACCTAAGTATGTCTACAGTTTCCAGTATTTGACAAACTGTGAAAAAACATGCTGCATTAAAATCGCCTCCAAAGAATCGATCATATAAAAAAAGAGTTACTAATTCCGAGATAATAAATACGTGTGGAATAAGAGATGTAATTTACAATATGTATGAAAAAAGTAAGTACTCTTAATACATTGTTTGTGTACCTAACTTTGAATTCTCTGTGAAATGTAAGAGTAAAAATAATGGAATTGTTTGTTTTCAGAACAGGATGTAACTTTGAATTCCTTACTTCCTGAACTACGAACAAGACACTTATTTGATGACTGTCGGAGGTCATTATCGAATTTATTAAAGGAAATTAGATTTAAATGGAGAAAAGATAAACCAAGACGGGGACTTATGGAGCTTAGTGATATTGCTGTAAAACGCGTTAGGTTTTCAAGGAACTATATTAAAGAAATAGAAGCAGCTTTATATAAATTTGTTTTTATTGATGAAACATAGATATTTCAAAATAGTACCATAACCCGTTCGTGGCAAAATAAAATAATAAAGTTGGTAAACTTATTCATCTTTGGTTTCTGTTCATCTCCAGTTAATTTATTTTCCTTAATATTTGCCTCTATATCTATTGCACATGTTATTTTCTTAAATATTTCTGTTCATTAATAAAAAAAATCACTTTATAAATAATTTAATATGAAATTACATTAAAAGCTGCTCTCCATGTCTCGTTATTGCTTTAGACACTACTTTATCAGTATTATTCTTCGTAGATATATCATACTCCATGCTGGAAATGAAAATGGTTTTATTGAAGGTGCGGAAGCAATATTTTCCTCAATTAAGTGATTACCATGGTGAAATGAATCAAGATAATTTTTTAAAATGGTTTGAGAACCAGCTACTAAAGAATCTTCCAGAACCAAGCGTAATTGTCATGGACAATGTTCCATACCATAGCGTTTTACTGCATAAAACACCAAATACTACTTGAAACAAACCACAAATTAAAGAATGGTTGACAAATCAAAGTCTTGCGTTTACAGACAACATGCTAAAAGTTGAACTTCTGAACATTGTTAGAAGGTAAGTAAAGAATGTAATACTTTAATTTTCAAGCTTTACTTTGTATTTCAAAGTTATAATGATTTTAGTTTTCAGTAATAAACCACCACCTATTTATACGGTTGACCATTTAGCCGAGCAATACGGACACAAAATGCTACGTTTACCTCCATATCATTGTACTTTTAATCCCATTGAAACAATATTTCAACAGACACATTGGCAGAGATGGAACGACTGAAAGAGACTGTTTAAATATGTGGTCTGAAACCCTTCAAACAATTACTCCTGAAATATGGAAAAAAAAGTATTGATCATACTGAAAAAGAAATTTCCAAATGGTTTGACAGAGAGAGAATGTTAGATAACCTCGAAATTGCACCTATAATAATAAATCTCAATGAAAAAAGTGAAAGCAGTAGTTATGAGTATGATAGTAATGAATAAACGAAAATAATGTTACTATATTGTATTTTTTATTTTTATTAACTTTACCTATATCTCCCCAAAAAAAAATATATAATCAAAATCCTAATTATATTTTCGTAAATAAATAATTTTTGGACTACCTATCTTTTTAAAAATAATTATCTCACATGTTATTTAAAAAAAAAGACAAGACAAAATGTGTACCTACCTTGTTTAATATCACTTCCAAAAAGTATGGCTTTTGTTAATCCGAAATAGGCATTTTTAATAATAATAATAATAATAATAATAATAATAATAATAATAATAATAATGAAAGTAATATTTCAGTTTCGAAATTCAAACATTTTTGACATTCAATCTAATGCATAAAAAATTTTTAAAACGGTTCTGTCCTTTTAACATTTGCGAAGACTGCCCTGGTATCTAATCTCACAACTCGGTCAAACACACGAATTTGAAAAGCAGCAGAACTAAAATTCAACTAACCAGGTATAACCAAGTCCGTGTAAAGAGAATTTTTCATATCCTGAAAACGTC